ACCGCTAATTATCTGTCACTTGACTAAGTCGGCCAGTCAACGACTGATGGCTAAAATATTCAGTTTTACCCGCAGAATATTCGAGCACGAACAAATTGAAACTAGTGATAGGCACCGCCTTCTTGATGCTTATTTGAAAAATTTCTTTGATATTAAAATCAATGGTAATAATAGTACCGACAATTACAATGATAATAACAAAAAAATTGTCATAAGTATGTACTAAGATAGTGGATAGCGTTGAAATCGCGTTCTGATTGGCTACTTAAATTCCGAATTCCTTTGTTATTCAACTCTAAGCAACGCGCGCCGCCTGAAATTTATTTTAGTCATTGCAAGAATAAATGAGTGATCTTTTGGTGCTATATGAACTCACTGCTTTGGTATAATTTAATTTACTTAAAGAGCTATTCAACTTAGTGTGGGTGGCAAGGGTAGATATTTTCTTCACCGCTTCGCAGCTTGGGAAATATCTTCCACCAGCCACCTCTACTTTAGCAAATATTTGTGAATTTTATATTACGAACAGTTTCTCCTTCTCGCGCGATTGAAAAGAAATCAGTAACCTTATCAACTCAGATGATAAAACCTAATTATCTTGTATCACAGTCACACAAAAAGTAGGGGAAATGTTTTGAGAAGAAAAAGATGGCTGTGACAAAAAGTAAAACATTGCGCACTTTAGGATATCAATAGTGGGGGAAAATCTTGAAAGCTAGGATGATGAAATAATATAATACTGTTCCATTCCTTGTATGAAAACGACGGGAGTAATTAGGACTGGGCTCTAGACACTTCCTCTATCATTATCCGGGATACTGAGTTCCATCCAGTTTTAGCATCACCCAGTGTATAACCACCGTGACATTGTCCTACCCATAACTCCACAGTAACCCTGCCCTGTGGAATGTTTTCACAGTATCCCTCAAATGATCTGTGATGAAGCAGATTAGGACTCCCAGATGGCCAATCGTTGTACACAGCAGCCTCAATTGTCATTGGTCCACTGCATTCATTTCCATTAAACTTGAAGAACCACCGGTTGCATTTCCTTGAAGTGCCATAGACTCTCATATTTCCCTGGAATGAGACTTTAATAGCTGTATCAGACTGCAGCTTGTTGAATGAGCAATCCTATAAAAAATGCCAAGAAGACAATCTTAGTGCAACAAAATGCATAAAAGAGTGTTATAGGAAACAATTTAATAATGCCCTTGTACTTTTCCTGCCTTGAAGAATGAACAGAATTATTACTTGCTGTTTTTAGTTTGGCTGCATTTCTCAAAAGTCTCTTTCAGAGATGGCCATGACAAATTGCCTCTAACACTTAATTTTATTTTTCATTGCATTTTCTAGATATTCTTGTACCTTAATCTTTCCACTATCTGTGCCATAATCTGTTTTCCACACACACTGTTTCCAGTTGGTCTGTGACACTGCACTATTCACGATTTCTCCTTTCTCTCCTTTAGATCCCAGATCTCCTTTCACACCCTTGATTCCTGGCGGCCCACTGCTGCCAGGTGACCCTTCATGACCTTTATCTCCTTTTATTCCCATCATTCCAGGTGCACCATTTTTACCAAGTGACCCTGGATTTCCTTTTTGTCCTCTTGTTCCCGTCATACCTCTCGGTCCCTTGACACCAGGCTCCCCCTTGGCTCCATCTTTTCCTTGTTGTCCTTGCGGCCCTGGAGCGCCAGGAATTCCCGGCATTCCTGGTATGCCATTCGATCCTGGAATCCCAGAAAATCCGTGAGCAAAAATGGATTTCTGAAAAAGAAGAAAGAACATATAATCATTGAATGGATGTACTTGATGTTTATTGATATCTACGTGTCCGCCGAAGTAGCACAGCAGTTTCTTCAGAAGCTAATCATGTTGAGAATTTAGCTTCGTTTTAGGAGAAACAGCTCGTAACATTGGATGATCTCTTACCGTTGTGGAGATATTCCTAAAAGAAAACTTTTTCAAGCAATGTTCTCCTTTGTCTTTGAAACTTATGATTGATGAGGGATTTTTTTTGCTTTGCTTGGTAGACATGAATGGTAAACTGAGGTATGACAAATGAACGCGTCATGAAGTAAATGCGATTTTGTAGTAAATAATCGTGGATAAAGCATGCTTAAGAGTACCTCACATGGGTCTTTGTCAGCGCCAGCTTGAGGATTCTGTTGTTGAGGACTGGTGGTTGTTCCCATGGAACTTGCTCCTGTTTTGGATGAGAAAAATAACAAAGCAGCGAGGATCAGAAGTTTCGCCATACTTCGATGGTTGTTTCGCGCGAATGCTTTGTGGTTGCTGTAAAATATCTCCTTATGTACGTGCCTACTTATATCCTACTGAATGTCATTAAATACAAACTGTTAGTTATCATGTTAAAATGACAACCTTAATTAAAGAGCACTGGAGCTAAATGATAAGAATGTCTGAAACTACTCGAACCCACACACCTGGTAAACAACTTGACTGTGATATCCTTATCAGTTCACTAATGAAGCACGTACTGACCGACAGACCAATGTTTCACTCAGATTCAGAGGAATTACGCACAAAAATCTGGGCCACAAAATCTACCTACTCTGATCAAACAAGAAATTTTGAGAAGGAAAGTTCGATATGGTCTGTGATATGATATGTTCAGCTGTCCTTAGCTCGATTTGGTATTCATGTTATTGGATCCATTCCAAAACAGTTTAAACCTTTTTGAACGCCGCGTGTTAGACTCAAACTTATCATGAGGTGGTGTGTTCAAAATTTGTCGACATTTAATAGTGGTACAAATTACAGACCGTCTCAGTGATATCAAATTTGACTGAAACTATAATGTGTTTGATTTAAGAAACAGGTGATAGCACCCAGTTGCAAACCCCCCCTCCTCCTCCCTCTCCCAATTTTGGGCAACTCAGATCTTTTGGGCAGCAAGAGAAACTTTGGTAAAGCCAATTTTTACTGAAGTCTCTATGTTTCGTTTCATCTTTTTTTCTCTTTGAAAGAGAAATTTTTTATTTTAAACTTAAGTAGGCGTGGTAAAGCTAAATAATTCATCTTCGGACTGTGAGTGCTGAGAGTCATTCTGAGCAACACTTATAATCTGTGCCGATATCGTCAGTGGAAGACGATCGATGTCATCTGCAGTTCTAGAAATACCGACATGACCTTACAGACCGTAGGCCAGTGTCGTAGTGAAGAAAGTTTCAACAGTGGAAGGCAAATTCAGTTAGCAATGGGTCTGAAAACGAAGAGCCTGATATCATGTTGATTTTTTCTATGGTCGATTACGGTTTTTTTTACTTATATTGAGGCGGTGAGATATATTCTCATCTCCAAAATCTGTTTTTGTTTATTAATGGTACAAATAGCAGACCATAATTACCACTATTTTAGGTGTTTCATTTTTCTACAAGACTTAAAGGTTTTTTTTAACAGCGTAAGAGTAATATCTGTTACTGTCTTCGGCTAACATAATTTATCTCTGGAATGTAAGCCTTTAATCCTTCAGACTATTTCTCACACAGTGTTATGTACCGCTATCTCGCTGGAATGAGACTTTAATAGCTTTATCAGACTGCAGCTTGTTGAATGAGTAATCCTATAAAAAATGCCGAGGACAGTCTTAATGCAGAAAAATGTTTGATAAGGGTGTTACAGGAAATAATTTGATGATGACCTTGTACTCTTCCTGCCTGCAAGAATGCACAGAATTGTTAGTTGGTATTTTTAGTTTGGCGGCATTTCTCAAACGTCTCTTTCAGAGATGGCCATGACAAACTGGCTCTAACGCTTACATTATTTTTCATTGCATTTTTTCGATATTTCTGTACCTAAATCGTTCCTCTATCTCTGTCATCATGCAGATTTTTCCACACATACAGTATCCAGTTGATCTGTGACAATGTACTATTCACGCTTTTATATATCACAGATCACAGCGTTGTAATTGACAAACTGCAGCAGGATAAAAGCGGTCAAGCCCTTTGATATTTAGGGAGCGTTTCTGCGGACTCTGAAGCGCCTGATATCATGTTTATTTGTTCTATGGTCGATTACGGTATTCATACTTATATTGAGGCAGTGAGATATATTTTCATCTCCAAAATCTGTTTTTGTGTATTAATGGTGCAAATTGCAGATTCGCCTTTGTGATGTTAAAATTAAGAACGATATTTTTGTGTCTCTTTTTTATATGTCCTCGAAACTGATGTTTTTATAATTACCACTAATTTAGGTGTTTGATTTATTTAAAAGACTTTTTTTATCAGGGTTTTTTATCAGCGTAAGGGTCACATCTGTTACTTTTAACGGATAACGGAATTATCTCCAGAATGTAAGCCTTCGATGCTATCTCACATAGAGCACAGGTGTGGTGTCATCTTCCAAGGTTAAGAAAACACAACCAAGTGAGAATATCTTTGCATATCTTTTTGGTGATATTAGTTAGTGAGAGTTAGTTAGGGTTAAAGTTGTAGCAGGAAGACATGTTATATAAAATGAGAAGATTTTGGGATCCAATATTCATCGTGTCTTCCACACAGTTTGCTCAAGAGATTCCCCCAAACGTTCAAATACTTGTCTAACTGAGCATCTAATTAAACTGGCGTAATAACGTGTTTGATTTAGGAAATAGGTGATAGCATTCGTTAGCTTGACCCCTGTGTTTTAAGCAGCAAAATGCAGCAGGAAAAGGCGGCCAAACCTTTAGATGTTCAAAAAGGGTAATTTTGTAACTGTGATACTGCGTCGGTGAGGGGTATTACAAGATAATTTGGTTTTATCCACTGAACTGATAATGTAAATTGGCCACCTTAAAGAGTTTCTAAAGCATCTGCCACCAAAACAACCTACATTACGATTACTTTATTTTAATCCTTTCATTCTAGGTGCACCATTATTACCACGTGACCTATCATTTCCTTTTTCCCCTCTTCTCCCCGTCATGCCTCTCGGTCCCTTCCCCTTAGCTCCATCTTTTCCTTGTTGTTGTTGCGGCCCTGGGGCGCCAGGAATTACTGCATTCCTGGCATGCCATTCGTTCCTGGAATGCCAGAATATCCTTGAGCAAAGATGGATATCTGATAAGAAAAAAAAGGTATATATAATGATTGGGTGTACGTACTAGATGTTCATTGCTATATTTGCTTGTCTGTTCAGACAGCGCAGCAATTTCTGTTGGATGATGATGCAAAATATTTTCGCCAGAACAAATAAATTCTTCACCTGACGAATGCACCTCGGAGCAGTGAATATTCCCATAATATTACCACAGGCAGACAACCCTGCGGGTTTGAGGCCGCGTGACGTCAGTTATTTGATACACTAGTTGGACTCTTACATTGTTTTTAATTTGCAGCGGTCGATCTCGGCAAGACGCAAGTGATCCCGAGAAATGTTTCAGAAATGCCGCAAATCATAACATTTCTTCCCTAAAATCCGCTTAATGACAATCAGATAAATAAAATTCACTTACCTTCCTTTTTCTGTGTTGTCTCGAGTGATTTTGCAGGGTTTTGAGACGGTTAATTCCCCACTTTGCACTGATGCCCCTTCAAAGGCAGGAAACATTAGCCAATCGGAACGAAGCTATTACTGACAGCTTCGTTCTGATTGGCTAATGTTTTTCCGGTTGCGGAATAAAGGTGGTAAAATAGCCTTAGGGGAGGGCTGGTTTGTACTGTCTTTCGACCGACACACTATGCACTGGTGTGGGGAGGATCGGGTGAAATGTGAGCTTGGTTAGTGATTAATTTGAATTGTAATACGATTAATCGAAGATTTATGATCGACCTCTTCGGTCTACATTATGTGTCGACGGTGGATGATAAGCGAATGTCGGAAATCGAGCAGGCTTTTCAGGTAGTTAGAGGCGGACAATTGCACTGATTTTTTGCTTGGATCTTACACGTTTATCGACTTTTAACGCACCCCAAGCTGGGAGGTGAGCGACGTTTGGAAGCGGAAGAAATTCGACGAAGTTCTGGAGGCTTTCGGCCCAGACGGCCCTGGAAGTTGCACGCCTTGTTTTTCCTTTTCCTTTGCGCGCATACTTTGTGTTCTCTGTGCAATATCTTCTTAAGCATGTATGAAATATTTTCATAATAATAATAACTCCCATGGTTATGAGAAAAGCGCTAAAACATGTTTCTGTTTTAAAAAATTAAAATGGTCAGTTACCATACTATTGATTGCAAGAAATGAATTGGATTTTCAATAAACGCCGCCCTTGTATAAATTAAACGCCGCACTCGAATCCGGAAAAATGTAATAAACGCCACGGCGTTTAATCCAATTAATAATGTACTTGAAAAATTTCCGCGCTTCTGATTAGCTGAAAACGATTGCATTCTCCTGTAACACGCGTGCAAAGTTGTAACACGAGTGCAAATTAATTACAAATAGCGCGCGCACGCCTTCAGAATTTTGTCTGTCTTGATATTCTGCGTTTTTTGTTTTTTTTTTCATGTACATTATTAAAGGAATAAAAAACGCGCCGAATTCATCGTTGTGTTATATAAGCACGGAGAAACACTCGCCTTCGGCTCGTGATTCTCGCACTTCTCAAGTGTTCTTTTAAAATTTTTCTAAGTGCTTATAGAACTAAACAATGTTCGAGGAACAAGCTTTTTTCATTTCTTCTATAAAACGTATCGTGAATTGCGTGCGCTCGTACAGATGACGTAAGCTGCGTGCACTATATCTCAACTGTGCACTCGTGAGACGTAAGGCACATGCTTTATGTAAATTTATAATAAAGTTCGGATATAATGCGCGCTGTCATTGGTTGAAAGAGCGTGCTCTATGAGAGTATAGAGCATAGAGCTGAGCTAAAGCTATCACTCCATCCGCCAAATTGTACTATGTTCGACCTTTTCTGGGACTTCTTTTTAGCTTTTTTCCGATAATTGAAAGTGAAATTTCCGAACAAGCGAGCCGACAAGTAGCAACAGAAGAACCAAATAAAGGTTTGTAAACATACCAGGCGCCGTAATTTACGTTATTAAAACGTGAGCAGATACGAAAATCCTCAAAGGAAAAACAAAATAGACATTCCGAGTTTTAATTCACACTCAGTTAGATTGCAAGCTTACGTACGGAAATAAAAATCAAACACAACTAACACTCATATAGTATATAAAATTCAGTGTTCAATAACAAAACAGAAGAAAACAGAAGAAAACAGAAATGATGAAAAATATAACCAAACTGGCATAACTGTTAAAATTCATTCTAATCATGACGGTGTCTGAGCGAATATGATCATGCTGAAGCTCATCATGGCGATCTCCGGTCATCGATTAATATCCAGTTAGATGGCCATCCAATTTGCAGGGTTGAGCATGCCAAATCATTAGGTTTAATTATTGATAACCGACTTTCGCGGTCTAATCACATCAAAGAACTATGCAGAAAGATATCCTCGGCAATAGGGCCTCTGAGGCGCATTAGGTCCCTCATTTCTCAGTTCACCAAAGTACAGATATATAACGCTTTAATCCAACCTCATTTCGATTACTGTGCCCCCGTTTGGGATGGAATGAGTTCTTATCTATGCGAGAAACTACAAAAATTGCAAAACCGCGCAGCTAGGGTTATTCTGCAAGCCAACTATGAGGTATACTCAAGCCTGCTTCTTGAAACTTTGAAGTGGCACCAGCTATCATTAAGAAGAAGAAAGCAGAAAGCTATAATGATGTTTAAATCCCTCAACGGGTTAGCCCCAGTGTACTTGCATGATTTATTCAGTGAGCAACACACAGACTATGACTTGCGTGATTCTTTCCGTAAGTTAAACTTACCCAAGCCGCGTACTGACTATTTGAAACGTAGGTTTGGCTATAGCGGTGCCTTACTGCGGAATTCTCTTCCTGAGAATATTAGGGCGATTAGATCAATTGGGCAGTTTAAGAAGGAAATCAACCGCGCACTTGAAACATTCGATTCCCACTCGGCAATCTTGTAAATCAGTTTTTATAGTTATTTTAAATTTTTACAAATGATTGTAATTAAAATACTATTAGTATAACTGAAAATTCTTTACCGAGTTTAAATAAAGATCTGCTACTACTACTACTACTCACAGTGAAGCAAGCCTATGAAAAAACTCGCGTGTTTTTAAGAGCCATAATCCGGCTGAAGTTCACTGAACATTTCATTTCAAGATTCTGTATGATTCTGTATTAGAGACTTAAAAACTTCAGGCAAAAGTGTTGAATTCGACCTGCCGAAATATTTTAGTTTGTAAACTATCGCAGAATGTGAACTTTGATGGTTTGACACTTTTGACAGCGTTAGTCTTGTACAGCCAATCAGATTATTTGAACTATTCTAACAGGGATTCTGATTGGCTTATTGTTGCGTGCTTTATGGGAGTATAGAGCATGCTGATGACACTTGTTCGTTTTGGAAATAAAGTTTGTTTTGAAAATTGAAGGTAATCCTCGGGGAATTTATTGGATTCTTTATTATAAAACAAATAGAGAAGCCTTAACTGTGTTCTGTTCTGTTATAAAGCACTTAGGAAGCGGCTAGAGCACGAAAGAAGTGTAGGGAGAAACACTCGACTACGTTTCTCCCTACACTTCTTCCGTGCTTTATAACAGAACAGAGCACATTCAAGGCTTCTCTATTTGTTAAATGATGAACTCGTTCTGACCAATCACGGCGCGCGCATTTCTCTGGACATTTACATGATAGCAAGTAATACGATGATTTCTCTCGCAATTTGGGGTCACTAAGTTCTTGTAAATTTTTTAAAGACTACAAATTGCATTCACCCTACAGGCGCGTGCAACTTTGTTATCTTTGAAAAATTTACTCGTGCTTATTTACAACAAATTGCACTCGAAATCATGTTACCAATACAAATAAGATAAATTAAGTTCTTGTAAATTTTTAACTGATTGCAAATTGCACTCTCCCTACGAACTCGTGCAATTTTGTCATCTTTGAAAAATTTACTCGTGCTTATTTACACCAAGTTGCACTCGAAATCGTGTTATTATATCTGTACAAATAAGATAAACTCAGAGAAATTAGCCAGAAAAATCGGGGCCACGAAATGTTCGTATTGTGATCAAACTTGCCATATTGAGAAGGAAAATAAGTTTCATATGGTCTGTGATATGATGTTCCTTTGTCCTCTGGTCGATTATGATATTCACGTATATTCCCGATCGATTCCAAAATAGCTCAAAACTTTTTAGAAACCGTTTGTTTGATCCGTGCTTATGTTCAAAATCTGTTGATGCATTTTAATGAAGCAAATTGCAGACTGGCTTCTCAAAAGGGTTTAATTCAATATCAATGAATAAAAAAAAGAAGAGAAAAAAAATCACACATATAATTATTTTTTGCTTTCTATTCATTATCATGTGTGGATATTTGCCAGTTCAGTTGTGCATGTGATGAAAGGTGTTTCTGTTCTTTTAGCCAGAGCGAGTTTCACATAAATTATGCGCGAAAACTTGATCATTATGCTTCTGACCGTCATCCATGGCATCTTGAAGAAAATTATGCTCAAGTTTTTCTTTCTGTTCAATTTTATTATTCATAATAATAACTTTTATGCCGGAGTCCCTCGACCTCCCGTTCCCCTACTTTATTCCTATCACCAACAGGTAACACTTGCTAACAATAAAAGGCTTACCGAAGTTCAAAACAAACATTTTACGGAAAAATTCCAGTAGTGCAAGCAAGAAAAGCAGGCTTGCTGTTGAAAGCACTCAGGATGGAATTCATTTCTTGGTAAACTGTAACGTCAAGGCGGGATTTTTATGAAGTCACTGGCTATAACATTATGCCCAACATTATACTGGCATAAGTTATCTGACCTTAACCAATGTTCTTTAAAGGGGAAAAATATTTACTGTGGCCCATATCTTCTTCGGAACTCAGAGAAATTTTCTCACCGTGAAATATATAGAGCACTACTCATTGCCACGAAAATAATGAATTTACCAGAGAAATGATATTTCTAGATTTGGCCGATGGAGTTTGAAGGTACATGTATTCCATGATAAACCCGTTTTTCATAAATGAGCATAGTGACTCTCCGCTTATATTTTAAAAAAACTAACTCGTACTCTCCAAACTTCCTGCGTGCTTCATATCTCGATGAACGCACGCTGACGTATGAACCAATTGTTAATAGAAAAACTTCTCGATATTAAAATCAGTGGTTTTAAGAGTACTGTTAACTACAATAGAAATTGCTATTAATATGTACCAGGATAGTGGATAGCGTTGAAATCTCGCTCTGATTGGTTGCTCAAATTCCGGATTTCCTTTGTTATTCACCTTTAAGCAACGCGCGCGGGATTTGCGCCAGAAGTTTATTGTAGCCATTGCAAGAATAAATGAATGATTTTTTTTGTGCTATATTTACTCATTTTTTTTTAGGATATACTAATTCTCTAAAACAACTATTCAACTCACTGTGGATGGCAAGGGTGGATATTTTCTTCGCCGCTTCGCAGCTCGGGAAATATCTTCCACCAGCCACCATCACTTTGGTAAATATTTGTGAGTTATATATTTCAAACAGTTTCTCCTTCTCGCGCGATTGAAAAGAAATCAGTAACCTTATCAACTCAGATGATGAAACCTAATTATCTTGTATCACAATCGCACAAAAAGTAGGGGAAATGTTTAGAGAAGAAAAAGATGTTTGTGACAAGAAGTAAAACATTACGTACTTTAGGATATCGATAGTGGGGGAAATCTTGAAAGCTAGGATGATAGAAAAATTAAGTTTTGTTCACCATTCCTTGTATAAAAATGACAGGAGTAATCAGGACTGGGCTCTAGACACTTCCTCTATCATTATCCGGGATACTGATTGCCATCCAGTGTAAGCATCACCTAATGTATGACCACTGGGACACTTTCCTACCCATAACTCCACAGTAACCCTGCCCTGTGGAATGTTTTCACAGTATCCCTCAAATGATCTGTGATGAAGCAGCTCAGGATTCCCAGATGGCCAATAGTTGTACACAGCAGCCTCAATTGTCATTGGTCCACTGCATTCATTTCCATTAAACTTAAAGAACCACCGATTGCAGCGATTTGGAGTGCCTCTTACTCTCATATTTCCCTGGAATGAGACTTTAATAGCTGTATCAGAATGTAGCTTGTTGATTGAGCAATCCTAAAAAAAAAATGCCATGAATATAGTCTTAGTACAATAAAAAATATTTTACAAGAGTGGTAAAGGAAAAAATTTGATCATGACCTTGTACTTTTCCTGTCTGCAAGAATGCACAGATTTGCAACTTGCTATTTTCAGTTTGATAGCATTTCTCTAAGGTCTCTTTCAGAGATGGCTATGACAAATTGGCTCTAACGCTTTATTTATTTTTCATTGCATTTTCTAGATATTTCTGTACCTTAATCTTTCCACTATCTCTATCATCATTCAGATTTTTCCACACACACTGTTTCCAGTTGGTCTGTGACACTGCACTATTCACGATTTCTCCTTTCTCTCCTTTAGATCCCTGCTCTCCTTTCACACCCTTGATTCCTGGCGGTCCACTGCTGCCACGTGACCCTTCATGACCTTTCTCTCCTTTTATTCCCATCATTCCAGGTGCACCATTTTTACCAAGTGACCCTGGATTTCCCTTTTGTCCTCTAGTTCCCGTCATACCTCTCGGTCCCTTGACACCAGGCTCCCCCTTAGCTCCATCTTTTCCTTGTTGTCCTTGCGGCCCTGGGGCGCCAGGAATTCCCGGCATTCCTGGTATGCCATTCGAACCTGGAATCCCAGAAAATCCGGGAGCAAAAACGGATTTCTGAGAAAGAAAAAAGAACGTATAGTAATTGGATGGACGTACTTGATGTTCATTGATATTTAATTGTCCGCCGAAGTAGCACAACAGTTTCTTCAGAAGCTAATCACGTTGAGAATGTAACTTCGTTTTATGAGAAACAGCTCAGAACATTGAATGATATCATAACCTTGTCGAGATATCCCTAAAAGAAAACTTTTTCCAGTAATGTTCTACTTTGTATTTGAAAACTTATGATTGATGAGGGATTTGTTTTGCGCTTAGCTTGGTAGACATGGGTAGTAAACTTAGGTGTGACAGATGAACGCTTCATGAAGTACATGCAATTTTACAGTAAAGAACCGCGGATAAAGCATGCTTAAGTGTACCTCACATGGGTCTTTGTCAGCGCCAGCTTGCGGATTCTGTTGTTGAGGACTGGTGGTTGTTCCCACGGAACTTACTTCTGTTTTGGATGAGAAAATTAACAAAGCAGCGAGGATCAGAAGCTTCGCCATTCTTCGATAGTTGCTTCACACGAGCAGTTCGTGTTCTATGAATGAAATATATATCTCCTTATATTCGCGCCTATTTATATCCTAGAGAATTTCCTTGAAATGTAAACTGTAGGAAGCGATGGAGCTAAATGATAAGGAAGTCTCAAGCTACTCGAGATCACACACGTGTAAACAACTTAACTCTGATATCCTTATCACGTTTTTAATGAAGCACGTACCCTCTACAAATACATAGAATTTCCCGGAAACATCTGCGCAATGAAATGTTCCTTTCTGATCAAACGCGACATATTGAGGAGGCATAGAAATTTGATAAAGTCTGTGACTGACGTGATCTTCGTTTGGCCTTTGGACGGTACTCACGTATTCTGCATTAATTATTAAACGTTCTAAATACCGAGTGTTAGACCTTTCTGACGCAGTGTGATAGATTTTCATCTTCAAACTTAACCATATGTATTAACGATACAAATTTTAGACGCGTCATGCTGCAAATCTTGTTAAACTGAAACAATAATGTTTTTGATTGAGGAAATGCGGGATATTTTTAGTTATTTTGACCCGGCCAGTCGTTAGTATCACAGAAAACCGTGTTGTAATTAGAAAAATGCGGCAGTATTAAAGCGGCCAAGCCGTCAGATGTTCAGTATGGTGTTCCTGGAGACCTCAAGCTCATTTCAGAGAATTAGAAAACTGCATGAATTGTCTATCTTCCTGTACATAAATTCACGTATAGATAACGCATGCTCATTGAAAATTGTCGAGGTTTTTTTTTTTAATTAGCTAACGCTTTTTTGAAGGGGCGAGTTATCATTTGTCAGTCAAGAACTATTACAGTACCTCATGACTGCTTTGTTAGATCTCCTCTGGAACAGAGGTAAATTTTTCTCTGAAATATATTTAACATTTCTTAGTACAACCTTAGTTCTTAATTAAGCATATTGACCTTTTGTTTATTTTACAAAATTTAACCTCAAAGAAGTTTAACAAAATCTTTCAATTTAGCAAACGAAACTGTTAAGTATCTGTTACTTGATCTAGCTGGCGTGTTAATGAATACAGATGAATGACGGCCATAATCGGATGTTTACACACTGACTTTGTTCGTTGTGAAGCATTTCCTTCTGTACGTGCCTTTTTGTATCCTAAAGAATTTCCTTTAAATGTAAACTCTCAGCTACCATTCTAAAATAAGAATTTTAACAAGGAAGCGATGGAGCTAATCAAATGGAAAGGAAGTCTGAAACTACTCGAAATCATACACGGGTAAATAACTTGACTATGATATCCTTATCACGTTCATTAATGAAGCACGTAATCTACATAAATTCAGAGAAATTACCCGGAAAATCCAGGCCACGTAGCATCCCTTCTCTGATCAAACGTGACATATTAAGGAGGAAGAGATATTTGATATGGTCAGTGACATGATTTCCGTTTGGCCTTTAACCAAATGACCAGTGATTTCAGAAGGGATGTGATAAGGTACGGTGTTATCGAAAACAGCTTTATTTCCTCTCCTTGTTTCCTTATTGGGTGAATTTCCTAGAGCTTCCCAGAAGTTGTGATTATCCATGATCATCCATGAAGATCATCAGAAGACAACCAGCATGGCCGTGTTTATGACTTGGCATCTGAGGAAGATGATCGGTCACGAGCTCGCCTCAGTTGCAGTGCAGGATGTGTCATGTTCTTCATGCTTAGCGTGCGTATATCCAGATATGCCATGGATACATGCGGGAGGTTTGGAGAGCACGAGAGACTCGTGAGTTGTTCGAGACGAAGCTAAGATCATCCTAAGCTTCTAGACCAAGAAAATTTTCCAGACTAAAGCTACTTTTAAAGGAAAGCTAAATTTACTGCTTAGAAGCGAAAAAAACGTACCAATTTCTTGCATGTAAAAGATTCGCGTAATAGATTTACCATGCTTGAATCGTTGTTTACTCGAATTCACGGCCTGAAATTGCGTAGCTTTGTGTTGAAAATTCTGAAAATTGTGTGCGATTTAAAACAAAATCTCCTATTGGACAATACTTTTAAGACATGTCAACACTTTAATTAGCTTAGATGTTCAGTATGGCGTTCTTGAAGACCTGAATTATCCGTCTTCCTGTACACACGCTCATGTATGATCAGCGTATGCTCATTGAAAGTGGCATTTAGTTTCAGATTAGTTTCGAGTAACATTGTTTTCGAGTGTCTCCCCCTGGAAAAATGGCGTTATGCCAAACATCATGCTTAGAATTTTTCAATAAGCTCAAAATAACAATGTATTAGCTCATGATTCTTTAGTATTGCACTACGCGCCATGCACTGCACATCATGCACTGCGCATCATGCACTGCGCATAGATATCACGTAATCAGTTGAATAAGCGCATGCACTTCCCCTCCCTCCCCCTCCCTCTCTCCCCCCCCCATCCCTCTCCCCTCCCCATTCCTACTATCAGAAGGAAAAACTTGCAAATTCTTTAAGTGGGAGCAAGAAAAGCAGTTTCATTATGGCCATTACTCAGGCTACAGAATTCATCTTTTGTCAAAGTGTAACACCATAGGGATTTTTTTTTTAACTTACGTCATTATTTCGGCATTATCTTCGATGCTCTTGCTATTATAATTATGCAGTTATGCTATCAAAATTATGCACTGAATACGGGTGAAAAATTTAATCTTACCTTCAGGAGCGTTGCAGACATTCACTCTCAATTACTTCGCATGCCGCTCCAAAAGGCGGGAAAACCGATACAATTTTCCCACTTGTGAAAAAAAACCGTATTACCCTTCTGATTAGTCAAACGATATTTTTAACTAACGAGAAAAATCCCATGACCAATGGGATTGCTTTTCATCAAAGAAAAACGATTTTTATTCGGTACGTGAGTTTACACTGAGTAAATCCCAGTACTTCTTTAATACGTTAGATTACGCTATGCAGATTTGTATAATACTGCATCATTCTTCTGCATGGCAAGAGTGATGTTTAGTTTAATGAAAATTTCATTTCACATCTCATGTTTTGACTAAAGGAAATATAATAGATACTATTTTTATGAGTTTACGCTCTTTGTGCTTGCTCGCCCTTAATCATTTTGTATTTACTTTTTATCGACAGTAAATCACAGATGTGCCACCAGATTCAAAGGACTTACCAGAACAAACAGGATGGAGGAAATATGTCTCTTTAAAGAGAGACTAGTAAATAAAATTTAATTGAAAACATGCTAACTCAGTTGCGAGACTGTGATAAACATTTTTCTTTTGTGTTTAAGGGACAACTCTTTTTTCTTCATCAATGTGTTTGAAGGGTTTCAAGACTATTTTGCAAGAACTGAGAAAAAGACGAAGGAAATGATGATGAACAGTGAGAGATCCTTTCTGGTTGGCGATGTAGCCAACATGAAATGAAGCATATACAGCTGTATCACTAATGATTAAAAAAACTGTCTTTTTTTTTTTATTAAAACATGCTCAGTTTTCCTTCACAGGCAGCAACTACCTAATTTACCGCCTACAGTATGTCGTATTGAGGCCTTACATTCCTTTAAATTCTTTATAATTAATCAGGTATAAGGACTACTCTTCCATATTAGACATTTATTTTACCTGCTGTGCATAAAATAGGGGAGAGCACTTCACATGTCAGGTTTAATGCAAAAACAAACGGATTGCAAATTACTCAGGAAAAACTTAGGGAGGGAACCAAATTGTCAAGTTTGTAAAAAATACCAGCTTTTTTTGTGGAGTAATGGAATGGTAACAGGGAATATTTTTAGAGCAAAAGTTGTTACTAACAAAAAGTTAGACAAATATCTTGCGATATTGAAAATTGGAGAAAATCTAGAAAATCACGATGATGGAAGAATGAAAAAAAAGTTAAACTTTCCTTAAATGTTCCCTACCAAGGTCTGTTTCGAAAAATGCAATAAAAAAATAGCTCGTGATGCTTGTTTTTTAATTTATGGAAAAAATTAACCGATTTTAAACGACATTGACTCAAAGCGTTCTTCGAGGCGTTGCATATAAGATCATGATTTCCATCCTCGAGTAACGGGCCTCCTGCACGTTTTTAACTATATCTTTTTTCCACTGATAATTTTTTTTATGTCTCTCTGAATTAAAGGAGATAATTTTTAAACCAAATTATCCAATAAACAATATTAGTCAATGTGCCTTTTCAAGAGCAAAAGATCAAAGTAGCTGTTTACCTCGTCCATTGCCTGAAAACCAACACTTATTCAACTGATTACTTGATATCTATGCGCAGTGCATGATGCTCAGTGCATGATGCACAGTGCAATGCTGAAAAGTCATCTTAAGTGCAGGCGATAGGAGTGATCAGGTCTGGGCTCTTGACACTTCCTCTAACTTTATACGGGACACTAATGACCATCCAATGTAAGCCTTACCCAGTGATTCACCGGGACATCTTCCTACCAATAATTCAACGGTCACCTTGCCCTGTGGGATGTTTTCACAGTATCCCTCGATATATCAAAATATCAAGTAGCGATTGTTAGTTGATCCAATACCAAGTTCTCCAAACTCACATCACAAGAATTGTCTGGCAGACAGAGGAGAATTACCAATGAGATCTTGGGAGTGAAAACGTAAACCAAAAAGTTGACAAATAAAAATCAAACCTCGTACTTGCATGTGCTACAGATGAGATTGTTTTGTTGTGTTTATTAAATTAAAGCAAGGTTTACTTTGTAATGTGTGGCACTTCTAAGAGGGTGGCAAAGGGTTCTTGCGTGACGCGTGATGGCCCCAAAACTTGCAGGGTGACGCGTGATTGAACCCAAATTATCCGCGTGACGCGGGACCGGACATCACAACTTGATGCGTGGTTTTCTATTTTACAAGTGCGTGACGCGTGATTTACAAAACTTACTAATTAGATATCCGTGATAGTGAACGCTCTTTGGCCAAGAGGAAACCAATCATTCAAAGTAAATAGAGTCTTACAAAGATCAATAAACCATGGCAGCAGTCAAACTATACTTTGTTCACTAAAACTTTTTAGTTCAATTCAATTAAAAAAATATTTAATCAGTTGTGAGATTCCATTACAAAACATTTTTCCTTCAATTTGTGATCACGTTTTTAAAGGGCTTCAAGATTATTTTTCAAGATAATGAGAAAAAGATGATAGAAATAATGGAAATTAGAGAGATCATATCTGGTTTGTAATGTAACCAAAAATGCGAAGAAGCACACACAGTTGTATCATGAATGATTAGAGAAACTATCATTTTGTGGACTAACACATAACAAACAGTTTTATGGTAATGCAGAGACAAACTCATTTAATAATTTAGGAAAAAAATTTTCAGGAGGAGATGAAGGTTTGTGCTGGTACATGGCATAAACTAAAAAGTACTAACAGAAGTAAATGCAATTTATAAGAAGCAGAAGGTTTACATTGGAATAAACGAATCCTCTAAGCATATTACTTGTGACATAGGGTAACTTTAATTTTTGGGTGGAATGGAAAATGTGAGAAAATTGTGAATCTAAAATAATGGGTGAGTGATAAGAGAATATCCTACTCCAGTTCTTGGGTGAAGATAACAGGACTGATTAAGACTGGGCTCTAGACACTTCCTCTATCATTATCCGGGATACTGATTGCCATCCAGTGTAAGCATCACCTAGGGTATGACCACTGGGACACTGTCCTACCCATAACTCCACAGTAACACTGCCCTGTGGAATGTTTTCACAATATCCCTCAAATGATCTGTGATGAAGCAGCTCAGGACTCCCAGATGACCAATTGTTGTACACAACAGCCTCAATTGTCATTGGTCCACTGCATTCATTTCCATTAAACTTGAAGAACCACCGGTTGCATTTCTTTGAAGTGCCAGCGACTCTCATATTTCCCTGGAATGAGACTTTAATAGCTGTGTCAGATTTCAGCTTGTTGAATGAGCAATCCTAAAAAAAAATGCCAAGAGGACAGTCTTAGTGCCAAAGAAATGTCTTATAAGAGTCTTATAAGAAACAATTTGATGATGACCTTGTACTTTTCCTGCCTTCAAGAATGCACAGAATGTTTAATTGATATTTTAAGTTTGGCGCCATTTCTCGAAAGTCTCTTTCAGAGATGGTCATGAAAAATTGGCTCCAACACTCGATTTATTTTTCAGTGCATTTTCTAGATATTTCTGTACCTTAATCTTTCCACTATCTCTACCATCGTCATTTTTCCACACACACTGTTTCCAGTTGGTCTGTGACACTGCACTATTCACGATTTCTCCTTTCTCTCCTTTAGATCCCTGCTCTCCTTTCACATCCTTGATTCCTGGCGGTCCACTGCTGCCACGTGATCCTTCATGACCTTTATCTCCTTTTATTCCCATCATTCCAGGTGCACCATTTTTACCAAGTGACCCTGGATTTCCTTTTAGTCCTCTTGTTCCCGTCATACCTCTCGGTCCCTTGACACCAGGCTCCCCCTTAGCTCCATCCTTTCCTTGTTGTCCTTGCGGCCCTGGAGCGCCAGGAATTCCCGGTATTCCTGGTATGCCATTCGATCCTGGAGTCCCAGAAAATCCGGGAGCAAAAACGGATTTCTGAGAAAGAAAAAAAACCTCTAGTAATTGGATGGACGTACTTGATGTTCATTGATGTTTACTTGTTCGCTGAAGTAGCACGGCAGTTTCTTTAGAAATTAATCACGTTGAGAATTTAGCTTCGTTTTAGGAGAAACACCTCGGAATATTGAACGATCTTATAACGGTATAGAGATATCCCCGGAAAAATATTCTATTTGTCTTTGAAAACTTATGAGTGGTAAACTGAGGTATGAAAAATGAACGCTTCATGAAGTACAAGCGATTTTGTATTAAACAATCGTGGATAAAGCATGCTTAAGAGTACCTCACAGGGGTCTTTGTCAGCGCCAGCTTGTGGGTCCTGTTGCTTAGGACTGGTGGTTGTTCCCATGGAACTTACTCCTGTTTTAGAGGACAAAATTAACAAAGCAGCGAGGATCGTAAGCTTCGCCATACTCTGATGGTTACTTTGCACGAACAGTTGGTGTTCTATGACTGAAATATATATCTCCTTATGTACGTGCATATATATACCCTAGAGAATTTCCTTCAGCTATAAATTGTAGGAAATGATGGAGCTAAATGATAAGAAAGTCGCAAGCTACTCGAGATCATACACGGGTAAAAAACTTAACTCTGATATCCTTATCACGTTTTTTAATGAAGCACGTACCCCTTACAAATAATAGAATTTTCCGGAAAAATCTGGCCAATGAAATGTTCCTATTCTGATCAAACGTGACATATGGAGGAGGAATCGAAATTTGATAAAGTCTGTGACAGAAGTGATCTTCGTTTGGCCTTTGGACGGTACTCACGTATTCTGCATCAATTCTTCACGTTCTAAATACCGAGTGTTAGATCCTTTCTGAGGCAGTGTGATTTTCAGAGAATTTCCTCTCATACCCCACTCATGTTTTAATGATGGTACAAATTTCAGAGGAGTCTCGCTGCAAATATAGTTTGATTCCTTGATTGAGGAAAGGTGGAATATCCCTAGTAAGTTTGGCCCGGCCAGTCATTAATATCACAGAAAAACATGTTGTAATAAGAAATATGCGGCAGTTAGTCAAGCCGTCAGATGTTCAGTATGGCGTTCCTGAAGACCTGAAGCACATCTCAGAGAATTAGAAATTTATCTTCCTGTACATAAATTCACGTATAGATAACGGATGCTCATTGAAAACTGTCGACGTTGTTTTTTTTAATTGAGCCAAAGCTTTTTTGAAAGGGCGAGTTGTCATTTGTTCGAGAACTATTACAGTGCCTCACGATCTCTTCTGGAACGGAGATAAATTTCTCTCTGATATATATTGAATATTTCTCATTTCAACCTTAGTTATTAAATGAGCAAAATGACCTTCTCCTTATTTACAAAAATCTAACCTCCAAGAGGTAAAGTTTTAACAAAATCTTTCAATTTAGGAATCGGTAAGTATCTGTTACTCGATCTAGCTGGCGAGTCAATTAATACAGGTGAATGACGGCCATAATCGGATGTTTACTTTACGCAAATACATTCTGACTTTGTTCTTTGCGAAGCATCTGCTTATGTACGTGCCTTTTGCATCCTAAAGAGTTTCCTTCAGATGTAAAGTTATCATTCTAAAATAAGAATTTTAACAAGGAAGGGATAGAGCTAATTAAATAGGAAGGAAGTCTGAAACTACTCGTAATCACACATGCGTAAACAACTTAACTCTGATATCCTTATCACGTTCATCAATGAAGCACGTATTGTCCAATAATCTACATAAATTCAAAGAATTTAGCTGACCTGTTGTCTACTGTGATGTTTCTATAATTAGCACTTTTTTATGTGTTTTATTTGCATAAGACTTTAAGCCTTTTGATCGTCGTAAGGTTCACATCTGTGAGTGTTTTCTGATTATAGAGGTTATCTTTAATTTAAGAATTCAGAGGTAGAGTGTTTATCACTTGGTCATATGTGCAGTAGCAAGGCATGATACATTTAGGAAGAAGCTTTTGTGTTCCTAATACTTGGCTCACTGATTATCTTATTAAACTGGAGTAATGATGCGTTTGATCATGGAAATAGGTGATAGCATTAGTTAATTTGACTTTTTTTCAAATATCACAGATAACTGTGAGCAAAATACATCAGGAAAAGGCGGCCAAGCCTTTAGATGTTCAAAGAGAGTAATTTTGTAACTGTGGTACTGCGTCGGTGAGGGGTATTACAAGGTAGTTTGGTTTTATCAACTTGTGTAAAAGCGAGCCATAATGAGGGGCTGCCATGGTCTGAGATTCTCCGCTTTTCTTCTGGCTTTATTGCTGCCAGAGGGTCCACTTGCCTACAAAAACTCAAATGGAACGTCGATAACTTTCTCGTGCACCTCTGGTGTTGCTCTCACAAAAGGAAATAACGATTTTATCGACAAATTTCTCTTTGCACATAACTGCTTCTTCGAAGAATTTGATTTCGCTTGGTTGTATCACTGACAATACTTGTGTCACTGCAAATGTCCACTCCTGGTTCATTAAGAACACCAGATCTTATGAACCGCACAATTAGATATGTTCTAACTGACTCGCTCAGATGCCTTTTTCAAGTGTTGAAGAACTAAGCTCTATAAACGAAGATCTAAGTGCTACTTTTTCACTCTCAAAATCTGGTGTTCTCTGTAATGTACAGGACTCCTAGCGATGTTGATTTCTATTCTGTTTTAGACAGGCAGCTGGACAGTATATGCAACAAAAGGAAAAACGTCATGAATATGATAATGAGCGATCTGAATGCTAACTTGTTAAATACAAGGAGATACAGCAATGTGGCACTGGAAAGAAAGGAAAGCACAGATGTGTGCCAAATCTCTGCCGTGGATGGATGTAGGGATACGAAAGATCACGAACAAAAGATACAAGCAGCTGCGAAAGGCACAAAAATCAGGTAACTCGGACGACTGGAAAAGGTATAAGGAATCGAGTAACAGTGTAAAAAAAGCTTTGAAAAGAGCGGAAGCACACCACTGGAAGAAGACGTTAAATGAAGCGAAAGGAGGACAAAAGGATTTTTGGAAGATTGTGATACAGTTGGCAGGACAAGAAAAATACTCACAGCAAGGAAAATGGCCCACTGAGAGATGACGAAAACACATTAATTCATGACGATCTTGTCAAATCGACAACCATGAATTCGTTCTTTGCCACAACTGGCGGAAAATTAGCATCCCGTTTTCCTCCAACTACTGTTGATAAGTCTTAAATCTCAAGAGTAACTCCAACGATATCTGAAGTTGTGCTTGATGGCGACGGGTCTAGTAAGCTGAAGAAACAGAACATTTGGAAAGCTTATGGTTGTGATGGTATAATACCGAAGGAAATGAAAATCGTTGCCAAGGAGATCTGGTAAAGCGTTGCCCACATAAACAAAATGAGTTACGATGAAGGAAAATATCCAACTCAATGGAAATTGGTAAAGTCAAAGTCTTGCACAAAGGAGGTGATAGTGGCAAGTGTGGTAACTACAGACCCCTGACTATGCTGAGCATCCCATGTAAAATCGCTGAATCTATCATTTGTGATACGATCGATCCTCGTTTAAACGAGATGCTGCAGAAAAACCATGCAGTAGGGATACAAAAAGGTTCCGTCGTGAGAGTCACTCCTTCTGTACCTGACGGAATCTTGGAAACGGTCAATAGATGAGGGGAAGTTGTAGGAGCTATATTTATTGACTTTAAAAAGGCTTTCGACTCGGTATACGTAAATCATGACATTTTACACTATAAAATGCATGCTTGCGGCCTAAGTGAACAGTTGTTTTGCGGGTTGTAGAGCTATATATCAAGTCGACGGCAGTTTGCAGAGTTTTAAAAATGGCATCAAATCACTTCTATATATAAGAAGCAAGATATGGAGTTCCTCAGGGGTCACTTTAAGGCCCAAGACTTTTTTTCCATTCATGAAAACGATTTTTTGTGATAGTAGATCACAAGGCGAAGTACACCTTTATGCGGACGATACAACAGCTTTCAGAATTGGAAATAGCACCCATGGGGTTGTAGGAAAGCTCAATCTACTATTTGAAGAGATCCATACTTGGAGTGAACTTAAAAAACTTACCCTACATACTGGAAAACGGAAGTAATGATAATACAAAAGAATCGTCTGTAGGACCTTTGTTACCAGTTAGATGCGGCGATAAATTGCCAGAATACACTACCAAGATGAGTTATCTTCCATCACATCTTTTTGAAGAGATTTATTTTAAGACTGTAATACCTCGAGTGCCTTATTGTACCGGAGTCTGGGGTTGTTGCTCTGTTGCTATGTTTACTGAAATAGTAAACTTGCACGTCAAGGCAAGGAGAATTGCTCATAAAATATCGAAGAACTGTTTGGAGCATGAAGTCCTCGACCTTATCAAGTGGCAAGACTTGGGATACCTATACAAAAGAAGATTAGCAATTGAATTTTTTAAAGTCAAGCAAGACCTGAGCAGCTGACTACTTCCGTTCGACCCTCTTACTGAATCGAAGCGTAAAGGCCCACTCCTTGAAATCAACCGTATAAAAACAGATCTTGGGAGGATCAGTTTCTATTTCAGGGCCCCGATTTTATGTAACTCTCTTGACAGTTCATCTAGGCTCTTAGATAAACTTGAGAATTTCAAAACCAAGCTGAAGTGCAGCAAGACTCTGTTACGAAAAATGACCGGCATTTTTTTCCAGGAACCATTACTAATCTTAACAAAGATGTAGACAATCTCATTAATTATTAACTTATAAGTGGTAAGTAATATATGTATTTTTTATTTTTACGCTGTAAAATACTTTTTAATAGATAAGTTTAATTAACAATCTTCTACATGTTTTTTTGTAAATATTTCTGTAAAGATTTCAATAGAAAGGTTCAATTAATGATTTTTTATGTGTTTGTGATAAAATGTTTGTAAGCATTGTTAATAGTTAGGTTTAATTTATAACTGTATCGATAATGGTAGGTCCACATCAGCTCTTTTAGCTACCACTTTTCGATTTACGTTAACAAATAAAGTATGTATGTGTATATGTATGCATGTTTATATGTATGTATGAGAATAAGCTCTGATGAAGGGCTAACGATCGATAGAAACTCGGTGGTCGATTTGCCTTATCAACTCAGTTGATAAATCCGAATTAGCTTAGATGTCCATTATGACGTTCTTGGAGACTTGAAGCACATTGTAGGGTAAAGTGATTTAATTATCCGTCTTCCTGTACACACTTCCATGTATGGTCAGCGCATGCTCATTGAAAGTGGAATTTAGCTTCAGATTGGTTTCGAGTAACAATGTTTTTGAGTGTTCCCCCTGCAAACATGGCTTTATGCCAAACATCATGCTCAGAGGTTTTCATTAGGCTCAAAATAATACTTGAAAATGATAGCTTTTAAGAACCCTTCAACCTTTCCCCCCCTATTTTTACTATCAGAAGGAAAAACTTGTAAAGA